AGGTTGGAAGATGATTACGTATATAAAAGTGTACATAAGTAAGAAGGCTAGAAGATGGATAAGTAGATAGGAAGTTACATGAAGAGGAATGATGGAAGGTGGGTAGTTGGTAGGAAGTTTACATAATCGTGAATACTAGAAGGACAGTAAGCAGAAATGAAGTTAGAGAGGGCGTGTTTGGAACTCTTATTGAATATGTATTGGATGATACAGATAAAATACAATATAACCGTTCATGTTGTTCAAGATCTATAATTTAACCAAACAAAAACATATCTGGAATTATTATTGTGACTTAAACCGTGACGCTTCAGTTGTAGCTGTCGGTTGACTTGAACTGTAGAAGTTAAGTTGTATCCAGCGTGTGGTTTGAATCACGCCGATTTTAAACCACGCACAGTTCAGTTATATCAAATTAATGATTTGAGATGTAACAGTTCAGTTATGTCTAATGGGTGATTTGAGATATAACAGTTCAGTTATATCAAATGGATGGTTTTAGATATCACAGTTCAGTTATAACCAGTGGATAACTTGAACCATGCCCATTCAGTTGTACTTGAAGGATGACTTGAGCTGTAATAGTTCAATTGTAGCCAGTGAGTAAACTGAGTTGTGATAGTTCAGTTGTTCCTACTAGGTGACTTTAACCCTGACAGTTCGGTTATAGCCACTGACTGATTTGAGCTATGCCATTTCGCTTGTAGCCAGTGGGTCAATTCATCCATGACAGTTTAGTTGTTGCTAGCTGATAACTTTAGCCATGCCATTTCACTTGTAGACAGTGGGTCAATTCAGTCATGACAGTTTAGTTGTTGCTAGCCAATAACTTTAGCCATGCCATTTCACTTGTAGACAGTGGGTCAATTCACCCATGACAGTTTAACTGTTGCTAGCCAATAACTTTAGCTTTGCCATTTCACTTGTAGACAGTGGGTCAATTCAGCCATGACAGTTTAGTTGTTGCTAGCCGATAACTTTAGCTTTGCCATTTCACTTGTAGACAGTGGGTCAATTCAGTCATGACAGTTTAGTTGTTGCTAGCCAATAACTTTAGCTTTGCCATTTCACTTGTAGACAGTGGGTCAATTCAGTCATGACAGTTTAGTTGTTGCTAGCTGATAACTTTGGCTTTGCCATTTCACTTGTAGACAGTGGGTCAATTCAGTCATGACAG